TAAATCCCCAGCCCCTCAATCTTATTTTCATAATACAATGAAAATATAGTAAATATCTGCTAAATGCAACAAGTATAATTCCACTAACAATAGAAAATAACTGAACAGTAATAGCATACAGTTAACCATCTAAAGATTAATAAGTTTAAGGGTTGTACTAGTGAAGACGTAGGGGCTGGGAATGGGAGACAGAAGAAAATTTGAAAAACAATAAAAGTTGAGAAAGAGGAGACAAAAACAAGACAAAGGATTCTAAGGAGTAGGATACTGATAAATTAACAGTAATACAAAGGAAATGAACAAGAAAAAGATAATAAAAGAAAAAGGGACAAAGTATGGAGAATAAAAAAGAAAAACTTAAAAGGAGAAAATAAAGAAAAAAGAGAAGAAAAAGATCTTCCCAACTCCAATTAACCAGTGAAGAAGAAAGAGAGAGAAAAAGAAGAGAGGAAAAAAATGAGTGCCGGGCGTGGTGGCACATGCTTATAATCCCAGGACTTGGGAGGCCGAGGCAGGAGGGTCATCACGAGTTTGAGACCAGGCTGGGCTACAAAGTAAGCTCAAGGCCAGCCTGAACTGCACAGCAAGACCCTGCCTCAAAAAGACCAAAAAAAAAAAAAAAAAAAAAAGAGTTAAAAGAAATTCTCTGTATGATTGAATGTGTAGCTTCTTTCCAGGATCCACAGTTTTGGAATCCAGCAAGTCACATTTTTGCCACCTAGCTTTGTGATCTGTGGGTTTGTGAGTTGCCTCCCCTGTTCCAGAAGCTCCTCTGCGTTTTACCTCAGGCTGTGGAAACTGCTAAAGCTGAGGCATGTCGTGTGGGACAGGATAGAAGAAATAAAAACTAGGTAGAAAGGAAACAAGGAAATCGAGATTGCATTTTATTGTTTATTTATTTATTTTTGTTCTTTTGAGACAGAGTCTTGCTATGTAGTTGTTATGGCTTGTGTCTAAATGTCTCCCCAAAGCCTCATATGGTCATAGGTGGGACTTTTCAGAGGTGGCTGGATCTAGAGTTTGTGATGCTGGAATTAAATGTGTGATGCTGGGATTAAGTGTGTGATGCTGGGATGAAGGAAGGGTGTGTGATTATTAACTGAGTCCATTGATTGGTTTGGCATAGTTCTGGGTATGGATAATGGGAAGCCCCAAACTGTGTGTGAGACCTACCCACCCTGGAGTGGGTAGCTTGGATAGACTACAAGGGACAGAAAGAGTGCTGCTATTGTCACTTGCTGCTTTACTATCTCGCTGCTTCTGCCTTCTGCCTGCCATGGACTGTTTCTCCTCTGTGATGTCCCTCTGCCATTCAACCCTGCCTTGGAGCCAGCTAACTATGAACTGAAACCTCTACAAACTGGGAGCCAAACAAATATTTTCTCCTTTGATTTTGGGCATTGGGTATTTCGTCTCAGCAACTGGAAGTGTAACTAAGACAGTAGTTCAGACTGGCCTTGAGCTCACACTGTAGGTTAGGCTGGCCTTGAACTTCCAGTGATTCTCCTGCTTCAACCTCCCAAGTACTGGGATTACGGGTGTGCACCACCATGCCCAGTTGTATCTTGGGACTTCTTACCAAGTCTGCCTACTGTAGCCCTATTACTTCTTACCCCAAAACCCAATCAGAACCTAGAAGTCTCAATCACAAAGATCTGATTACTCATCAACCCTGTCTTTCTGGCAGATGCATGGGTTCTCTAATCAGACTTTTCATTGCTCCATCACCCAATCTCACCCTACACTGAAACTGCAGTAGAAAGGAAGAGTAAAGAACAGTAGCTGAAGTGCAGTGATTGTGGGGAGGGACATAAAATCAACTTGTGCTTCTGAATCTTGGTCAGGAGTAGTATGAGTTACCCTTTGCTCCCATGAGTGGAAGACAACATTTGCATAAATGTTCAATAGCAGTGAGCTCAATTCTAAGATGATTCACTGGGATCAAGGGTGTGGCCTACTAATTTGGGAATTTTTAGTACCCCTGACTCTGGTATCGCTGATAATATGATGCTTAGAGTGGGAATTAAGAGAGGTGCCTGGCGAAAGTTCCTTTGTCGTTTTCTAGCTAATACATCTTCACTTAAGGCCCAGGTGTGTCGGGCACTGAGTTGGGAAGGAATTGATGCACAGGTCAGACATGGTTTCTAGAGCTTGCTATTTAGCTGGGGGACCAGCAGTGAAGCAGCAGGGTGATGCCAGTGTTGAGAGCTCTTATGAGGTAAGAATGACACAAAGCTTTGGAAGAGCACAAGGCAGTGGCTAATAAGCCTGATGGAGGGCACAAACTCACTTTCCACAGGAAGAGACAACTCAGCTAAGACCTAGACTCCATTCCCCCTTCAACCTCTGTCTCCATCCCTCTCCTGCCCTAGGAATTGGTCTAGACTTGAGAAACAACAAAGTACACATCTGAACCAGAGAAAAGCCAAGTCCAACATGGACAGTGGAGCAACTCACCATTTCTGCCTCTTCTTTCTTTGTCCTGACTGAGAGACAACCTCAACTGCTCTGTGACCTGGCCAGCTAGCTACATGAATCTCTGAATTATGGAATCTAAGCAATGGCCTTGTCCATTCCTAGGCAGTTCTAACATTGTTTAGGTCAAGACACTGAAAGGCCCAGTATGTTGCCGAATATGTAGAAACCAACTCTGGCCTAGAGTCAAATACCATAAACCATCTGAAAAATTCCATGACTCAATGCCCTTGTTTGGACACACCTGGGTAGAATATCTCCCTTTTCACTGTCCATCTGGAAAACAATGATTCCCTTGATAAGTAAGTTCCCCTACTAAATGCTTTAGGTGGATGATGCTGTTATTTAGTGCTTTATTCCTTGCAATCCCAGTCAGCCCCATGGTTTGGGATGGTCTGGACAATCCCTGGTGAGAATTCCCCTGCCACCACTTTTATGTCCACTCCAGTCATAGGATAGGTGGACAGATTAACTGATAAATAAATCTCTGTCCTTCCTATTCATAAATGAAGCACAATTTCCAGGGACATGTATCTTTTCTACTTGGTCTCCAGGCAGAGATGAACAGTCCCATGTCCCTTCCTACTCCTGTCTGCATCTGCACGGGACAGGGAGAGTTCTGGCTTGGTGCCTTGGGCAGCAGAGCAGGCTCTGCAAAGTGTGTAGGTCACTGTACAACAGGAAAAGGAGTTAGTGGAAGAGAAGTGATCTGATATTTCTCTGCTAGCACCAGATAAACATTTCTCCAGATGCTCTTACCCCTGCTGGACAACTGTCCCATGAAAGCCAAGGGAGAAAGCCTCATAGTAAGGGTGCCTCTGAGGTGTCCCTGGACAGGAACATACAATGCCCAGAGAGGCCTCTTTTCTAACTTAGACCTCAGCTGCTGAGCTATCACAGTCCCCCTGTGCCTCCACCCCACTTTTCCCAGAGTTCCATGACCAGGTGAGGATGGAACTCCTTCAGGGCTTGGTAGACTTTGTCTTTACAGGCCCGGTCCCAGGACTGGCTGAAGCCAAACAATTTTCTCATCTGGCCTGGCTTCGTGGCCTCAGCCCGGACGCTCTCATACTGCTCTTCATTCAGCACCTTTCCATACAGCTTGTCCAACACAGGGTCCACTGATGTCACTCGGGCTACCAGCTGCTCCCGATGCTGGTCAATGAAGTGCAGCAATGCCAGGGCATTCGAAGGTGAATGTGAACCTGGAACAAGGAAAGAAAGACTCCCACCATGGGTTCTACCTCTGATCAGACACTTCTAGCTCTTCGTTTACCTCCTCTCATCCCTGACTTCCTTTTACGTCTGGAAAGAGGGATGACCAGAAATGTACCAATGCCCCTTTTCATGTCAGCATTTAGCTTTACATTCTCTCTCTTCATGCTGGAGCACTGATGCTGTTGGTAGGGATGCTAGAGCCATGAATAGGGGTGAGGGGCTGGGGAGGGACTTGCCTCTGGCCACATGCCTTTCCCCTGGTGAAGTCTGCAGTGAGAGTCTTTTCCTGTCCCTCTTTTCTTCCCCCAGACCAGATTGTACACCTGAGGATTCCCACTGTCCCCTGTGGTCTCTAACAGCTGTTACTGACCTGGGGAAACTGGATGGACCACTGCAGGTCTGAGGTCTCCTGGAGGAATGGAAATATGAAAAGACATCTGTAAGATTATGAATATGTCTGACATACCCCAAATCTTCCATACACTTCTGAGATTCTTTGATTCTGAGAACAAACCACAGTCAAATTCTGATACAATCTGGAGTAAGGACTGGAAAGGCCCTTTATTCCCCATTATGTAATGGGGAATCCTTTCTTTGTGCATATGGAAACTGAGGCCCTGAGGCTATGATCATAGACTAATAAAGAGAGAGAAGGCATCTGAATAAGCAAAATAATTTCTGCCAGAATTTCTCAGACTTGGATTTATCCTGTCTTGGCCTGAACTGAGTCTCTGGTGGGGGAACTAACCAAGTTCCTTGAAAGACAATTTTAACTATTCTCTGAGTTCAGTGTGACCTAACAGTGCAAGAACCCTGGTGGTGGTACTTTTACCACTTGCTCCATTTGTATGTTGTGAGGGGACATTCCTTATGCTCCATTTCCATGGACTGTTTTGGGGCCAATCCTAACTCAAGCTCTTAGGAGAGCATCTACTGAGGAAGGTAAATGGGTGGTCAAAAATTTATAGAAAAATATAAGAGGAGGAATGGAGGGAACTGGACATTGATTGCATAAGGGGAGACATGATCCCAGTGTTCCAATATCTGAAGTCTTTCCTGGGGGGAAGAAGCCAGACTTCTCTAAGCTCCACGGGACAGAATTAAGACTGTTGAGAAAAGAGGCCAGTTTAACAAAAAGAAAAAAACCCAGTATATTTACTGTTTGTTAAAGATCACTGCATGAGCATGTCCAGACATCATTTTATTTAATCTTTCCAACACTTTGGTCAGTCAGTAAGTATGATCCTCATTGAGCAGATGAGGAACCACATATGCAAATGAGTTGAGATTTTTTCTCAGGACCATCCAGTGAGTGAGTGCAGGAGTTGAATTCAAACCCAGATCTGATGCTTGACTAGTTAGTTCTCTACCTGTGGTTGCTTCCCTGCCAAAGATTAATAAAGGCCAAACTCCTTTCACTGTGCACTAAAGCTTGTTTTACAGTATCTCAGAAGATATGACATCTGACTGCTGATATTTGACAAGGCTGGTTGTTCCTAGAGGGACTGATTAGGAGACTTCGGGGATGGTGGTGTTTGACTAAAAGAAAGATTTTCTCAGTCCTGAAATTTTTAAATTTGATTTCCTGATGTTTACCTTGAAAATGTTGCCTGATCCAGAACAAAATACAGAGCTGACTTAATCTACCAACCATATAACCATCTACTGCTTACTTTTTTTTTGAGACAGGGTTTTGCTATGTAGTTCAGGCTGTCCTTGAACTCACTTTGTATCACAGGATTGCCTTGAACTTGAGGCAATCCTTCTGCCTCAGCCTCAGAGTGCTGGGGTTACAGCACCACAATGCCTGGCTCTTTTATTTACAGCCAGGTCATGATGAGACACTATGCTAAAGGCTTTGTAGATGCCAAAATCTCTTAAATCAAGAGAAATGTGGAGATACCAGGGTGCCCAGGAGAGAAAATGAGTTTAAACTCTATTCATATCAGCCATTGGGTGACTTGAAAAAGACAAAATTTCTCTGGATTATTTCTTCTTGCTAATAAATCCCTACAATACCTACAAACACAGACAAAAACATGCAGACACACAGAGACTTGAACTTTCTTTCTTCTACTTCTGAGCTGACTTTTTGGGTTTTACCTGGTTTCAACAAGGCCTCCCATACTAGTATTTCATCTTTCTTGTTTCTTATTTGCAGCTGGATCTTTGACCCAAAGTTGGCAACGTAGATCTCAGAGAAGAGCTGGGGTTCTGTGGGGCTCCGATAACAGAGCTCCAGTTCCTAGAGACACAAAGAGTCACCAGGTGAGAAGCCACCATTTCTGAAGTCTTTCCTCGCCTTCCAACTTCTTGGTCTTGCATACCACCGTGGAAACAGTGACATCTCAGGTACAGAAATCACCTTTCTACCATAAATAGTGTTTCAGACAGATGAGGACACAGTGCATACCTCATAAATGGTTCTCTGGGGGCTCTGCTAGGAGAGCTCCAGTTCATCAAGAGAAAAAATACTACATGTGGAAAGCCACTAATCATACTTAAGTGAGGTGTTTACCCACTTTATACCTTCTTGGCCTTGCTCAACCCCTAGGGATACTGATTGCAAAATCAGTTGCCAGCTTCAGACCATTAATCCTAACTCTCAAGACTGAGTCAAGGCTCATCCTAAGTAATGTTCATACATCCTAAACAGAGCTTTCTTTTTATATCTTGATCTGGCTCCATCATCCTCCATATCTTCCTTCTTGAACTCAAACCCTCATTTTTTGATCCCAAATCCTGTCTTCCTAACGTGTTATATATTCAACTCACTTTTAATGGACAGAAAATTTACATTTATTCCTTTTTCTAAATCAAATCCAAGATAGATCTCTGGGTTCCCAGTTGTTTTCTGTACATACTCCTCCCCATCTTCTCAAACTAAGTAATTGGGACTACCTGCTTGAGCACTCAGATTCCAAATTTAGACACTGTCCTTCATCTCCCCATACACTGCCAATCCACCACGTCCTGCTGCCTCTACCTCCTAAGTAGGTTTTGAGCTCTGTTGATCTGTTTTGAGCTCTTTTGGGTTTGGTGATTGCCTGTGTTTCAGTTGTCTGGGACTCATCAACTTTTCTCTATCTCCACTGCTACTGTCCTAATGAAGCCACCATGACTTTCACCTGCAGTGTTATAATAACTTTTTTTTTTTTTTTTTTTTTCTGGTACCGGGAATCAAACTCACGACCTCGTGCTTGCCAGGCAGGCGCTGTGCCGCTGAGCTAAATCCCCAGCAATAACCTTTTGATAGGTCCTTGCTTTTACTCTTGTCTGCTTATCATCCCTTCTCACTGGCTATTCAGGAGTGTCTTTTAAAAACTCAATAAGGTCTAGTATCACTGTATTTCAGACTATCCAAGGCCTTGCTGTTGTTCTTAAAACAAATTCTAAACTCTGCGTCAAGGTTAACAGGGCCAGTGAGCCCTGGGAAACTGCCTCTGGTCTGACCTCATCTTTTGCTGTAGACATTAAACTCTGCCATACTGATCAACTTGTTGCATGCGGGTGTCAAGCTGGTCCTGCCTCTGTGCCTGTGCACAAATTCTTTTCTAAAATTAATTTTATTGGTACACTTTTGACATACATAATGATCACATTCATCATAGGGAATTTGTACCTGTACATAATATATCTTAATTCTTTTTTCCCCACACTCCTCCCTTCTCTTCAATCCTCTTCCCCTCTCCATTTACAAAATTTTGTTGATGTTGTTTTTCTTCTATTCATGTGCACAGTTCTTACTGTCTGAAACACTCTACTACAAATCCCCATAGGCTGAACCCCTCTTGTCACTGAGCTTTCAAGTAAAGGGTTATCTTTTCAGAACTGCCTTTTGTGAAGAAGTCCAAGCCCAAGCCCAAGTCACTCGCTCACATTGCTTTGGTTGTTCTGTTCTGTTTTGTTTTGTTTTGAGATAGAGTCTTGCTATGTACTGCAAGTTGGCCTTGAACTCACTTGTGTAGGCCAGGCTGGCCTTGAACTCTCAGTGATCCTCCTTCCTCAGACTCCCAAGTCCTGGGATTATAGTGTGCACCGCCACACCTGGCTCTCCTCTGTTTTACAGCAATTGGTGTTACAGTACTTGGTCACTATGCCTCTAATTATTTTTGCAGACTCTATTTGCCATGATGTAAGTGTGGAGATTTTTCCCTCAGGTCCCCTGAACTGCCTTTACTGAAGCATATACCTAGTATGGATTAACATTTGTTGAATAACCAAATTATGTCTCTCTGTGATCTTTTAGTAAAAACTTTTTAAAAATTTATTTTAAAATTAAAAGAAGGAAAACATATTAACAAACACATCCATTTACAAAATAGCATAAGAACAATACAAGCAATACTGAATTACAGACAAAGTGGTAGGAGATTAATAATGATTGTTGTATTACATATTGATATCTTCAAAGTGAGTTCTCAGGAAAACAAAGACATGCAAGATTGATCAAATAAGTAATCATGAACTGTTCCTTTCAGCAAAGCGATAGAAGTCACTTGTACAACTATGTTAGCTATCCTATATATACATACACACATAATTTCCCCTTCTTTCTTTTCTCTTTTCCCTCATCCCAGTTGCTCTTTACTTTTGAGCAGTTTCCTTTTGTTTCACAGTGTCTATCATACCTCCTAATTTTTATTCACTCTTTCAGGTTCTTACACTAGTGAGACAATATGTTGCTTATACATGGAGGTCTGGTATATTTCACTTATGAGTATGGTCTCTAGTTGTGGCCATTTACATGTAAAAGCCTTGAGTTTATCTTTCTTTATAGCTGAGTCATATTCCATTATATAAAAGTACCACAATTTTTTTATCCATTCCTCAATGGATGGACATTTGGGTTACTTCCATGATTTAGCTATTACAAATTGCACTGCTGTAAACATGGGTGCATATATATCACTGTGATATGATGTTTTTAGATCTTCTGGGAAAACATCCGGAAGGGGAGCAGCTGGTTTGAATGTTACCTCTAGACCTAGTTTGCTGAGAAATCTCCAAACTGATTTCCACAGTGGTTTTACCACTCTGCATTCCCACCAGCAGTGGAGAAGAGTTCCTATTTGTCCACAGCCTCTCCAGCATTTGTTATTGATTTCTTAATGATAGCCATTCTTACTGGAGTGAGATGAAATCTTAATGTTGTTTTAATTTGCATTTCTCGAAAGACTAATAATGTTGAACATTTTCTCATGTATTTATTTGCCATTTGTATTTCCTTATCTGAGAAGTGTGTATTCATCTCAGCTGCCCATTTTTGGATTGGGTTTTTGAATTTGGGGGTACTGATATTTTTTAATTCTTTATATGTTCTAGATAGAAGACCTTTGTCCAAGGGACAGTCAGTTAAAATTTTTTCCCAATTTGTGGGTTTTCTTTTTACTCTGCTGATGATTTCTTTAGATGTGCAGAAACTTTTCCGTTCTTAGTAAAAATTAACAATGCAGAAAAACTCCAAAATAGTCACCCTTGGGTTCATGTTTCCCAATTTAAACCATCAACATCCTTTCTTTTACTACTGGATCTTGATTCCATCTGGAGACACTAAATAAAGTTATCAGGAATCCTTCAGAAGCTGCTGTCTTTACAAGTGTGTAGCTTCTGCCAGAGATGAATTTTCTGATTTCTTCAACATTCTTTCCTATCTTTTCATTCTAATACTAATTTTTTGCATGATTCCGTTTTGACACCTTGTGGAGCACTAATTTGTTCTCCCTTACCTTCATCCTGTTGTCTCCGATTTCTGATGTTTTCCTTCTACTATCTATCTATCTATCTATCTATCTATCTATCTATCTATCATCTACCTACCTATTTATCTATCTATCTATCTATCTATCTATCTACCTACTATCTTCTTTCTTTTTTAGTTTTATTTTTGGTACCAGGTTGAACTCAGGACCTTGTGCTTGCCAGGCAGGTGCTTGTGCCACTGAGCTATATCCTTGGCCCCCTTCTTTCTATAATTTAATGAAAAATAAAACTCTTGTCCATTTCCTGCAGACTGTAGCCACTGCTTTGAAGTTAACTGACTGTGGAACTTATCATCCTCCACTGTGCCTTGCAGATGAAAATCTAATACCTAGACATGGGGAAATTTTCACCATAGCAAATGCTTCTTGATTTCTTATAAGTTGCAAATGGGGCAATTTGTAACTAAGGAAAGAAGAAAGGAGACTTTTGGGCTTTCTTCAACAGGCGCCTGTGGATTCTGGGCCTTATAATCTGGGCGCTGGTTTTGAGACCTGTTATAAAGACTAACAATTTTATTGGTTTTGTTAATTGCTTCTGTTTCCACTGTCTGACGTATCTGGTGCTGTGCATTAAATGCTGCTGTGCAGCCGCTGTCAGGTAGGATGGCTCCGTTGTTCATCTCGCACTCCTCTAACTTGGATCAACATCTGCTGCCATGTCGTGGATGCCTCTGGGATTCTCCTAAGCAGCAGATCTGGGTATGTTGAAAATCTGATACTATGTATTAATTCTCAGTGGCTCAGGGTCACCTGCCTTTGGCTAAAACTGGGGAGGGAAGGTGGACAGTAAGAGAGAACAAAAAGTAGCCCCTAGTGGCTAGGAACTGATCTGAGGCTTACAGGTATAGCTAGTGTCATTACAAACTGATATGAGGTTTACAGCTAAGCCATATTGTCCCTTGTTGTACGTAAACAGAACATGAACTTTAGACAGGTTATCAGGCAGGCCACAAATGCCAAACACCCCACCACATAGTAAATAAGTTAGTACTATGTGCTTAGCAATACAACTTTATGCTTGCTTTCTCGTGCCTTCCCTTGAGATTGTACAGTTTCCTAATAATCACAGACTTGACCGTACTTCCTGACAACATCCAACCTAGAGCAAATCTATTTCATCAGACTTTTGCCAAAATTACCCAACCAAGGCCTAAGTCCTTCAGTAGTTTCTTTCTAGCATCCCTTTGCTGAGACATCATACATTTCCCCGATGTAGTTTGGAAATGAGTAAAAAACACAGTATGTTTGACTATAGTTGCATTTCTAGAATGTTTGGACTGGAAATTATTGACATCCTGTACCCCAAATGCTTGCCTCTGCCCCCAAGTCAAATAGTATCATCTTAAAAATGAATCACATGATCATCTCAATAGATGTAGGAAAAGCATTTGAGAAAGTTCAACACCTATTCATGAGAAAAACACTACAGAAAATTGGAATAGATGGATTTTACTTCAATCTTATAAAAGTGATCTATGACAAACCAACAGCTAACATCATACTAAATGGTCAAAAACTGAAAGCTTTCACTCTAAAGTCAGGAACAAGACAAGGATGCCCATTATCACCACTTCTATTCAATAGATTTCCGAAACATTAGCCAGAGCAATTACACAAGAGGAAAAAATAAAAGGGATAAAGATAAGAAAGGAAAAAGTTAAATTATTATTTGCAGATGACATGATACTCTACATAGAAGGCCCCCAAAACTCCACCAAAAAGCTTGTGGATTTAATATCCAGATTCAGTAGTGTGGCAGGATACAAAGTCAAACCTCAAAAGCCAGTAGCATTCCTGTACACAAACAACAAACTCACAGGGAGAGAAATTAGGGAAAGCACATCCTTTACAAAAACATCCAAAAAAAGAAATACTGAGGAATCAATCTAACAAATGATGTAAAAGATATGTACAGTAAAAATTGTAGTACCCTAAAAGAGGAGATTGAAGAGGACATTAGAAAATGGAAAGATACCACTTGCTCTTAGATAGGAAGAACCAACACAGGGAAAATGACCATACTCTCAAAAGTGCTATATAGATTTAATGCAATCCCAATCCAAATACCACAGACGTATCTTACAGATCTAGAGAAAATACTCCTAAAATTCATTTGGAACAAGAAAAGACCTAGAATAGCAAAAGCAATTTGGGCAACAAAGGCAAGTCAGGGAGCATCATAATCTCACATTTGAAATTATACTACGAAGCTACTGTGATAAAATCAACATGCTATTGGCAAAAAAAATAGGCCTGAGGATCAGTGGGACAGAATAGATGATGCAGATACATCCCCAAACACACTCAGCTACCTTATCTTTGACAAAGGAGCCAAACATGTTCACTGGAAGAAAGATAGTCTCTTTAATAAATGGTGCTGGAAAAACTGGTTCTCTACATACCAAAGACTAAAACTAGACCAGCATCTATCACCATGCATTAAACTAAAATCAAAATGGATCAAAGATCTAAATATTAAAACAGAAACACTAAATCTACTGGATGAGAAAGTAGGTATAAATCTTGAAGACATAGGGGTAGACAGAGCTTCATGAACAAAATCCAAACTGTACAGGAAGTACTTCAAAGAATCAACAGCTTGGATCTCATCTTAAAAAGTTTTTACACCTTAAAAGAAATCACCAATAGAGTGAAAAGAAAGCCCACAGAGTGGGAAAAAAATTTAGCCAACTGTCCCTCAGACAAATGACTTCTATCTGGAACACATAAAGAACTCAAGAAGAAAATCAGACCTCCCCAAGTTTAAAGACCCAATCCAAAAATGGGCATCTGAGGTGAATATGCACTTCTCAGATGAAGAAATACAAATGGCAAATAAATATATGAAAAAATGTTTCACATCATTGGTCATTTGAGAGATACAAATGAAAACAACACTGAGATTCCATCTCAACCCAGAAGGAATGGCTATCATCAAGAAATCAACCAATAACAAATGCTGGTGGGGTTGTAGGGAAGCAGGAACACTTGTCTACTGTCGGTAGGAGTTCAGACTGGTACAACCACTGTGGAAATCAGTGTGGAGATTCCTAAAAAAACTGGAATTGCAGATCTCATTTGACTCAGGTATTCCCCTTCTGGGTATCTTCCCAGAAGAATTAAAAACATCATTCCATGGCAATATATATGTACCCATGTTTATAGCAGCACAATTTGTAATAGCTAAATCTTGAAAACAACCTAGGTGCCCATCAACCAAGGAATGGATAAAAAATACGTGTTTTTTTTGGTTAATACAATGGCATACTACTCAGCCATAAAGAAGGGTAAACTGGAGACTTCTGTAGGTAAATGGAAGCAATTCAAGACTATACTCATAAGCAAAATAAATCATATGCATATGTGTAAAGATTGTATTGTCTCACTAGTGTGAGAAATTGAACAAGTAAATAGGATCTGAAATGTGCAAAAGATATTAAGAATTGGGAAGAAACTGTTCAAAGGAAAGATAAACCATGACAGGGGAAAGAGGAAAAGTGAAAAAGAAAAAAAATATGTATCACAGGATAGTTACAATAGTTATACAGCTAGCTTCTCTTTGTTCTTTGAAAAGCCTGTTTTGTGCTAATATTGTTTAGAGAAGATATCAGGCCTATATCCTGTACTCTGAATAACTACTATGAGGACAACAGTACACAATATATCTACTCTTGTAACTGTGTTACTAACATGTTTTGAAACTCCATTTCATTGTTTGTCTTTTTTCGCTTAAAAAAGAATCACAGTCTCTTTTGCTTACCTGCAATCTTTGAAGCTTCCCTCTTCTACTCCTTTGTGCTTTCCTACTAACCCCAAATCCCTCTCACTTTCTGCCCCACCCTAACCAATTCACTCATTCCTGAGAAAGCCCTGAGACCGTCAGACAGATTTTCCCAAGCAGATCTTCTGATCTTGAGGAGGGGACAAATGTCTGGACTGTTTACCTTTGGGATGATTTCCAGCTTCTTTGAACCAGACACGTTATAGCGGGTACCTATGTAAAGGGGGTCCATCGGGGGTGGCTTATGTATCTGCACAAACTTGAACTTCTTTTCTTCATCATCTATGGCCTAAGGAACATACAAAACATGTTTAAGGGAGATTCTGCTCTTCAGAATATGGGTTGAGTAAGGTAAGATGGTGCTTTTGTGTATCCTCATGTCACTGTGGGTAAGGGGACTACACGGCCTCTGCATCCCTCTCTCCCCATGTTCTGCCACAACAAGAGCTCCATGCTTGGCCTTCTACTGTGTTAAGTGTGACAATAGGATCATTATGTGAAAAGAATGGGTGTCATTTGGGCATGCAGCTTTCCTATCTTTTAAATTCTGTACATCAGTGATGTCGCAGCAAAAACAACTGGGAAAAATTTGGGATATTAGAAAATCAGTCTGCGGTCGAGCAGAGGGCACTATTCTCCATCCACCTATGTTGATATTCCCACTTGTAAGAGTCCTATCTAGTCCCAGTTGAGGGTCTATCTGCATGGACCCATCTACATTTCACATTTACCCCCCCGTCCACCCTGGCCTGGACATTTTGGTTTTGAGTGCTACCTTCCGAATGGTGCAGTCACTTGGAATCAAGTAGAGGTGGAAGGTTACTTCCTCAAGATGAAGATGATGGTAGAGCAATGTGGTGGTAGTGATGGGGATGAAGCGCCGGGCAGCAGGGATCATTCTCAGGAGAACTCCCATTGGGGAGAAGCTGGGGTTTTCCAGGATGATGTAATGTGACTCCACCCTGGTTGGCTTCTCTAGGAGCATCCCCTCTTCTTTAAAGTGGGCCACTTGGAACAAGGAGATGTCCACAACCCCCTCTGTCAAAGAATAGATTTGTACGATATGCATTTAGTTTCTTTACTGAGTCAGGCTTTGCTGGGGATTAAGCTGAAAGACCTTCCTGGGGGAATCCAGGGCTATGGTCTGTAACTTTGGGTTCACAGAAAATTCTTACTTTGAATCCCTAACCTATCATGTAATGGTATTTTGAGGTCAAGCATTTTGGCAGTTTTGTGCTATCATGGAGGGTGAACCCTCATGAATGGAATTAGTGCCCTATGAAAAAGTGAGGCCCCCTCTCCCCCCCATGAGTACACTCATAGAAGATGCCACATGTGGGAGAGAGTGCCCTTCCCAGACACTGAAAGTAATGGCATCTTTATCTTGGACTTTCCATCCTTCAAAGTGTGAGAAATAAATTTGTTACTTATAAACTATTGTATTAGTCAGCTTTCTGCTGCTGGGACTAATACTTGACATATACAGTTTTGAAAAAGGAAGAATTTATTTTAGCTCATGGTTTCAGAGATTTCAGTTCATTGTCAGTTGGCCCAGACACTGAAACTTTATGACAAAGTATCATGGCCGAGAAAAACTGCTCACCTCAAGTCAGCCAAAAGCAGAGAGAATTGGAATGAGCCAAAAAGCAAGGGGACAGGGGACGAGATATACTCCTCAAAGTCATGCCCCCATGACCCTCCCAGACACACCTAGAAATGTGCTTTCCTAACTTCCTACTTTATGCATATCTCAAGCCAATTAACTCAACAAAGCTAACCATTATAAGTCCACCCCATATCAACTAGACACCCAAAACAATTTCCCAAATTCTCAAATAGAGACAATAACAAAGTTACAGTGATGCTAACCTAACACAGCTATCCTGTATCCAACAATGCACTGATTCCTTCCCCACTGTCTCATTTGTTTCATCACTGTTCAAAAGTCCAAGACCAAAGTCCTTTGAGACTCAAGGCAAACTCTTAGCTCCGAACCTGTATAAAATTTAAAAAGTAAATTACTTGTTACCAAGGTACAACAGCAGTGTAGACTAATTATTTCCACTCTAAAAGGGAGGGATAGGAGAATAGAGGAAAACAGACCAAAATAAGACCAAAACCCAGTAGAGCAAACATGAACTTCTGTAGCTCCATATCTACCATCTGGGGTATGTGGTGGCAGGATAGGAGCTCCAAATGGCTTGTGAAGATTTAATATTTATGATTTTACTTGTTGCAGCCCAGACATTTTTTCTCCTTGGTTGGTTCTGTTCGTTGCTTATATCTTTCCTTGGCAGATATCATAATTCCGACTTCTGTTACTATTCAGAGTCTCTAATGTCTTTATTCTCACAGCTTCTTGCATCATTGTTTTGTGGGCTCCTGGCAAGAACTCAGTATCACATATTGCTTGGCCTCCTAGGCCTTCCTTTGAAATCTGGTTGGAAACCTCCATGACCCCACAACTCTTTTATGTTCTGTGTGTCTTAAAAAAAAACAGATGATGTCAAGCTTTGCCACAAGTTTGAACACAGTTGGGCCCTTTGGACCACGGAGATGGTTTCTGAGTGTTTGGAATGCTTAGCATTGTGGCATGAATCCTGGGGAAATAATTTCCTAGGCAGCCCTATGGGAGAAGGTCTTGCAGTAGTTCACTTCTTATTCTGAAGTCTTTCAATAGAGTTTACCTTTCAGCCTGTGATGGGAGGGTTTGTGCTGATTCCTGAGATGCCCTCAAGTGATCTTTCTACTTGTCCCATGGACAGTACTTTATTTCTCTGCAATGGCACTAGTGTCCTTAGCAATCACACCTAATTTGTTTCCTGCTTTCTGTGCATTTCCTTTTTGGCCAAACTGAATGTCTTTCAAATATTTCTGCTTTACTTTTTGCTTCTGATTCTCTCTGTAAATTGGGATAAAAGTAATCATTTGTCCTGAATAAACTGAATGTTGTTCCACCTTGAAAGTCTCTGTGTCAGTTCACTTAGGTGGTTGCCTTTATCTTTTTTTTTCTTTTTCTTTAGATGGTTGCCTTTAAAGGCCTTAGCCTCACACAAGATTTTTGGGCATGGACAAAATGTAGAAAACAATCCTTTCCAGAGTGTAACATGCATGGGCTCCAGCCCAGTTGCCAACAGAATTCCTCCTTCCCATCTGAAACCTTAAGAGACAGTTTTAATGTCCTCATTTGTATTGGCATTTTCAGCTTCTGAAGTCATACCAGAATTGCCTGTAAAGCTCAGGTTATAGTCTTAGGATTTCTCTAGCCCCATTCTCCAAAGTTTTTCAAAATCTTCATACAAATCAGTTCTGGAAGCTCTGAACCAAATAGTCAAGTATAGTGACAGCAATAACCCCAATTTTGGTATCATTCTTTTGTATTCATCTTTGTTCTGTCACTGGGAAACAATATCTGACATATACAATTTAAAAGATGAAGGATTTAGTTTGGCTAACAGTTTTGAAGGCTTCAGTTCATGGTGGGCTGGATCCAAGGCAGAAACATCATGATAGAGAGGCATAGCAGAGGAAATCTGCTGACCTCATGGCTTTGGGAACAGAAGGATAGACAAAGAGCCAGAGAGGAACAGGCCAGGGACCATACTGAGTCTCTTAAGACTTTTGATCCCCTCCAAATCGATGCAGAAATATGCTTTTCTGATATCTTTTTTTTGGTACTGGGAATCAAACTCATGATCTCATGCTTGCCAGGCAAGTGTTGCGCTGCTGAACTATATCCCTGGCTCACTTTTCTGATTTCTTAGGCATATCTCAAGCCAATTAAATTCAGAATTAAGATTAGCAGTCATAGCTACCCAGTGTATGGTGTGTTATTATAAGAGCCCTAAGATATCCATCATGTGGCATCCCTGGATGGGGTGGCTTTAGTAACTGTGTCTGTAAGGTGGGAGAATTATAGGAACACTAACCATTTCAAATCCAGACACAGATCCAACCCTGTGTTTACTATGTTTACTATACTGCTGTGAATTCTGTAAATCTTGGGGCCAGTTGAGTGATGCTGAAAGGTTTGACCCCACGCAGGTAGAGCATGAGAAAGAAGACAGTATAGTGGGCATATGAAGTCACCAAGAGCATCCTGCTTTGGTCAAGTGTTTGGTCATCATTCAAACATTTCCTTGTGGGAAGAACCCCTTCCTCCATCTTTGTGTGGGTCTAGAAATAAGTAAGCTGAGCCTCTCTCTGAGAAGATGCTACTCCCTAGCAATTATGATAAAGTTGTGTCACCAAGACTTGCCTAAGTGGGTGCTGCTAACCAGGACTGTGAGCCTAATGAGGTGAAGCAGAGAAAAATAAACAGTTGGAGATAGATTTGGAAGTAGCAGCGCAGTCTGGAAGGTGGGACCCATGTTGACTACATCAGCAGCACAGATCTCTCTTACATTTCTTATTGTGGTGTTGGCCAAACAGGGGAACCAAAATCGTGAGAGAGAAGCACATTTCCCACAGCCACAAAAATAGCCATTGCCTTATTGCCAGTGTCTTTGGTCTCACCATCATTGGCTCCCTGTCTTTTTTCCCTCTTAGGTACATAGATTTTTTTTTTAAAAAGTCTATGGCTACTCAGGAATCTTCTGGTATATTCTTTTTCTGCATAAATAATCCAGAATTTGTTTATTTGATTGTAGCCTATGGTCAGTGCACTGGGCGATTCTTTAAAGCCCCAATGGGCAGTTTGTGGAATAAAAGCCTGGAAGTGGAAGAGATATTGTTGTAGATATCAGAAGTTTTGGCTCCATTCCCTTATTGCCTACAAATGCAGGTGATTTCTGGGCAGTAAAATACCTGTCTACCCAGAGCAGGCCCTCAGCGAGAATTTAATGGAGTAATGTTAATTCTAGAAGGGGCCATGAAGACCTTTACTTAAGTTTTCTCACCTATTAACTGCATTTTTGGATGAAAAATAATGTCACAATGTACATCATCTGAAAAAACAAGAAAGAATTCACCAATGAATCTTATCAATCAGCAACAGAATTATTATAACCATTCTCTGCAGTAACACATTTTTACATTTCCATCCTAGTTCAGGTAGCTTTGTCTCCTGCTTTTCCATGTCCAGTGAAATTGTTGCAAACATCCATCTGATTGTTCTCATGACTACAGCATGTGAGCTCTGGTAGTGGATGCATCATTCTATAATTCACCATCTGTCTGTTTCACTGGTGTTTGCTTTCAGTTTTTCACCATGATAAATGGTACTCCATGCACCTGTTTCTGCAGATAGCTTTTTAATTACCTTGGTAATTGCCTTGGAATTAATGACTCTCAAGGGATAAGAAAATGAAGTGAAAGGATTATCTCCCTTTGTTTTTCCTCTCCACATTGCTTCTCCAAGAGGTGATGCTGTTTGGCACTGCCATCCAAGACACCAGGTAAATGGTCTCACCTAGATCTCCATAGCACTGTAAGGTCATCGGTGTGCCAAGTGATGGAACTGAAATACCACAAGGGATGCTCATTTCTCATGGTCACAAAATGGCCATTGCCCTATTGCCAGGTCCTAATACTCCAAGAAGGTCTGTCTGTGGCACTTACAGATGCTCTGTGCCATGATAATTTTGGGTGATTTCTGGAAGATGCTGCATCTTCCCTTTTGTTACCTCCTGGCTAGGCAGCCTTCCTGCCCTGGCTTGCTCAGGATGTAGCAGAAAATGCCCCTTAGCCAGTCTGTTGGTTGCCCAGGTAATAGTTCCTGTTATAGTTCCTGTTACTACTGTCTCCTAGAACCAGCTGGTTGCTGTGATGCATATTGTAAGAACCAGTCAAAGACAGCCAAATATTCTACCTCCGTACTTCCTCTTTGCAGCCCATAAAACCTCCCTCCCTGGGTCTTTGAGGCCTGACATTCTGAAGGACAATTGATTCCCTGTCAGTGCTCATCAATGTAAAATAAATGTGCCTCCAAATCCTGGGTGTCATTTCAGAGTTTCTGTTTGCCATTGCAAGGACAGAGAGTTACATTTCTGTGGTACAGGAATTTCTCTCCTAAGAACAGGAAAATTCCAGGCAATTTA